TGAACAAAAATGGCGAGAGAAAAAAAGAAGAGAAACGGAGAAAACTCGAGAAAAATCGAAAGGGAGAAATAGGAAGGGGGTAGAGAAAAATTGAAACATAGAAAAAGTGGAAGAGGGACAGAGAAAAATCGAAAGGGCGAACAAGAGGAACAGTGATGGCGAGAACTCGAATGAAAGGAAAAAAAAGAGAAACAGAGAAAAGGAGAAAGGAAGATTGAAAAAATCGAGAGAGAGAGTGAGAAAGGTAGGTTGAAACTCCGAAAAGGACGAGACCTCAAAAATCTCGGCTCACGCCATTACGGGCCGACGTTGGATCTCATTTGAACGCCGCGCGACCGGAGCTCTTGCAGTCTGGTCTCTCCTAATGAGGGCGGCTTTTTCTTTCCTCGGCCGCCCCTCTCGCGGAACCTTCGCTCACCCTCTCTTTCTCTCTCCGTCTCTCTCAAGCGTCACGCACTCTCGTCGTTCCTCCGCCCACCCGGTAGCCCTGTCATCTTCTTTTTTTCCCCTCCTTTTTCCATCCCCGTTCACCCTTTTGAATGAGAGAACGTGGCACGAAGAGAGAAACCCCGGGACCGGGTTGAATGTTATCATCGCGCCGCCAGATGCAGTCTGAAATGGCAACGAGAGGATACGCCGGCAGCCAGACCTACCCCGGGCATAATTAAAACTTGTACCGCTCGAGCGTCTCGAAGGTTAGAAATACGCGTCTTTTGTGAACATGTATACCGACCGGGCGAGAGGGGGGTTGCATGGACCGAATTCTCTCTTCTCCCGATCTTCTCTCGCCCCTTACAACTCTGTTTACGTGGCCAGGTATTATCATAGCTGGCTTCTCCGTCCCTCTCTCTCTTCCTATCGTGTTTTAGCGTGGGCGAATAAGACGGCACATTGAAATCTCGCGTTCCCGATGACGGGGCACGGGAACCCAACTGCGTGGCAAATTAACCCTCGCACCTACTGCGTCTGAGAAGACGCTGTTTCGTGGCGATCTGGATTTGGATCATGGTCGATCTTCGATCGCAATCGGAGATGTTGATCGTGTTCTTATGAGCATAGGTGAGTTTATTAATCACTAAGTATGGAATAGGAATTTGTGATATTTTGTGCAGTATGCTGTAGAGTACGGTATTAATGTGGATGTAACACGAGGCAATGTGTAAAACTAACTTGTTTTCTTTTTATGGAAAATGTAGGATGCTAGATGTGATCATTTAGATGGATAAAAATGTAGAAAATGTAGTGAAATCAAAGACTTGTTAAGATGATCTTTGTTTGTTGTCTTTGATTAATGAAAATAGTTATTGGAGTGTTATAATTATGATTAGGTGAGGTATTCCTGTAATCAGATTGTGAAATTCAATGTTTGGTTGTTTTCTTGGAAAAAGATAACTTGAAAATAAAGTGTAAAAGTCGAAAATACAAGAAAATATTAATAAATCATAGGACGGGCGGATCAGTGACTTGATTTTAAAAATGTACACGGAGAACATGTTAACCAGTAATTGGATCGAACAAAGTGATGTATTCGACACAGAAAAAAGCAAAGCGTAAAATATTTATTTGTAGTCAATGTACACTGGTTTTGCGTTTACGATCGTAGAACAAACGAACTAGGTTTTTCTTCTGTGATGCTTGGGATTTGATCAATTTTATGATAGTAATTAAATACGGTATTGTGTCGATAATAGTCGATAATATAATCGATAGGTCATACAGCATTATGGTTACATTATTAAAACCTCGTGGGGCGCATATTATCGCAAAGCATGACATTATGGAGTTAATTAATATTGAGTTAATGATTAAATTTCTTGTAATTATAGTTTTCGATAACATATTAACGAAAGTACGTTCGATTTAATTTCATTTACATATTTATAGTAGTTAATTAACTTAAATCTGTTTAATATGAAATATAAATATGGCCATACTTGATGTAGGTGTATCAGGTATATGATTTTACTCACGAAACTTCTAGCTATCACATGTTTGGATATTTTGTTTAATTCGAGGAAGACAGAACTGTATGAAACTTCTTTACCTGCAACAAACAAAAATAAAATTAATAATTTGATACTATAATTACGTAGACATAAAATTATAAAAGTCGATTATTAAATTGTAATATTGGGTACACTGTATATATTAACACAGTGAAACAGTAATAATTTGATATTGGGAAGAGAGATATACAATTCTGCTTCATTCTGATTAATCTTTCGTATCTTAAATTTTATAGTTTACATAGTCAAAATATAAATGGAACGTGCGCATTGACCTTCGTGCATCTGAGAATTCACAGTGGGAACGCATAATTGTTGCTTAATTAACGCTGCTCAGCATCTGTTTTCACAACAATAACTTCTGTCTTCCAAACAATAAATTACCCGCCGACTTTCGCCATGTCGATGAGGGAGTAAGCAGTTTCTGTAGTCTTAATAAAGTTTATATGGGCCCGTCGCGTTTACGTTCTCGAGACTGCAGCTACTTAAGCGAGACAAGTGCGATGTAAACAGAAACATTCTCAACGGGTTCCCCAAGTTCTTAGTAAAGGATGCTGTCAGCCATATTCACGTTTAACAAATCTATGCAATGTTATCTAGTAACCTTATAATTAAAATCGACTTTAATCCCTCCTGCAGACTATACAACAATTCTAACTTTTTTATATCAAGTAAGTACATCACACTGATCTTATCGTTTACGTTAATTTATAAGTGATCTACATTTTTCACATGTACAAATATATATTACTTAAAATTTATGGAATGCTTATTCATTAGAAAACACGATAAGAAATAAAACGATTAATAAATATTTATTAATCCTATTAGTGCATATACTATAAATGAACATTTAGAAGTGAAAAAATACTATCCAATTATAAGAGTATCAATTCTAAGCTAGAATTAATTATCAATACTTAAAATTAACTACAACTTGAATGACTTCGGAATGAGTTGCGGCATACAAGAAGCGTAATTAATTTGTTACAACTGTCAACAACGGATTAGCTTCCATTTGGAGCCATTCATAATGTACAACACCGATTGAATTCATTTTCTACTTATTTTCGGTCGATCTCTTTCACCTTTATGGTAACGCAAACAATATACGCGAAGAACAATATCACCGAATTTCATCGCGTCGTCGGGAAGAATTAAAGCATCGTTACGGCGAACGTTACGTCATCGATATGGATCAGTCCACGGTTTCAGGCGCCGTCACGTTTTTCTGCCATTAAGTTCGAGCCGGCGCGGCGGTCGAACAAATAAAACAGCGGGACGAGAGGGTACACGGGAAACGGGAATGGATACTTTGTCTCGCTAATACATCGCGGACAAGAAAAGTTATTTCAGTTTTCAGGAAAAGCGTCGGAGAGGTCGGGTGAGCTCGTTTCCAGCTTTATCTCCCCTTTACCCGCCATTAGACATCGAAAATAAGGACGGGAAATATTCGTTCGCCGGCAGATATTATTCACGGGACACAGTTTTCGTGGGATTTCTCGTCCGCGTCCCCAGTGCTCTCCACCTGACAATGCTCGCCACTTTTCCTACCTGACGTTTCCTTATTGCGCGGGAAATGTCATTAGCGCATCCTGCCTTACACTACGCCCCTAATGGAGGTCCTTTGTACTTCAGCTGCCGAAGAATTGCGTTTACGCTCCTGATGGCGGTGCCCGTTGGCAATTTTCTGCCGCTATCCATATACGACTGGAATTCTTATTAGATTGCGCAGTCGAGCGATGTGATCGTTATTTTCTCTTTTTTTTAACAAGGTTGTAAGAAGGTTTCTGCATAATATGCGGGATTTATGAGAAGGATTCAAGGGATGATATTTTTTTAAGGGATGATGTAACAGAATTTTTAGGTTTTTATCCTTTTTTCATGAGAAGATATCGATTGATTAATTGTTACAACTTAATAAAGAAGATAGGAACAGTTCTTTGAAAATAGTGTTTCTAAATTTGAATGTAAGTTTCAGGTGATGTAATTAATTAACTTTGAGACGAGATTTTTCTGAAAGACTACATACAGTCTCTGGCCACTTTTCCGTGAAGGACACCGTTGTTCCAGCAACCATGCAGTCTGCTTTGTCCATTACACCAGAGTTTGTTCTCTTTTGTCCTCGGTGCGCGTAGCTTGTGATCACGGCATGGGCGGATAAGCATGAATCGATTGATTGGTTGATTGACTATCGTACAGGGAGAAATATGCAATGCAAAGGGCTCTGCGACCTATTCGAGTGGTGCTTGGTGGTTCGAAGCTTTGACTCGCCGATGTCGATCAGTTTTCAAGTACGTATCTAGGCCAAACTGAACCGTCCGCAGACTCCCTTACACGGCTTCGTTCCCTATTATTCCACTCGAGTATATATTCCGCCAGATATACGTATAAGGAGGACACGGTAAAACTTTTCATTTCAATTTTACAACTAAAAGTTTCGGTCGCGCTCCGATTTATGTATTGAAATCGGGAATTTTTGTAATGGGAAAAGTTATAAACCTATATGGCCAACAAAGTATATCTATTACAATTCAACGGGCATAAATTCGCCGAGGGAACTTGGAACAGTGAATTTAGTGCTGCGAACTTAAAAAAAAAGCAGGATTCTAATTCACCACTGATTTATTCTTTTGATTTTCCATATGAAAATTCCGGAATTTCCATTAACATGGAAACATGATGATGGATACTTGAAATATTATAAAGTAACTATAAACGTATATCATAAATATAATAAAAGTATATTACAAATATATAATATATTTTAATTGCGATGTTGAATTATGGACGTGAGCCAAAACTGTAATGGTATTTAAATAAAGATAGAAAATTCGTGTTGGTTTTAGACATGCAAACGACACCGTTTTAACCGCAACGTTTTTGCCCCCTCGTCGCCACTTTGTTTTTGATAATTACATCTTCACCAGCGCGTTATATAGGTCGGCCAGGGAGCGTCGAACAAACACATTTATCAGAGCATCTCGACCCATATCGCGCGGTTCATCCCTCGGTGAGCATTCAACGCGGAAAATAACCACTTTCGTACGGTCGCCCGGACTTCCCGAAATCAAAATGCAATTAATTTTCGTTGCGATCCCTGTGTAATATATTTCCGGGCCATGGTTGCGAGTGAAGTGTCAGTTTTACCCCGGCTCTTTGAGACGGTCGCGGAACGTCGTCTTTGACGCCAGGATCGAGAACTGTTCTCCCTCGCCGTACGGAATTACTCGCCAAATGAATCCGTACGGATGCACGCGTCCCATGTCGTCCTTAGTCGCGCGCTTTGCCGCGATAACGTTTCTCTAATCAGAAATGAGGACCGTTTTGTCCGAAACAGGATGTCCCCGCAACTCGCAACCCTTTGTGCGCGGCACCGAGTTTAATGAAGTTCGAGAGAACACCGGAAAAATAATGATGCCGGAGACAAATTCGTTACGTTAATAGAAATCAGAAGATAAAGTTGAATTATGATAATTGAATAATATGATACGGTTCCCTGAGAAGTATCTTCAATTGAGACTATAAATTGAGACCATCCGTATGATTATAATATTTAATATATTTTAATATAAGTTATATTTCAACAATAAAGAAGTTACGAAGTTGTGTATTTGGATTATGATGAATAGATTGTAGATTTGTATACGAATATGGCTGTCGTGAAGGAACTGGTACTGTATAACCATTATTCACGTCTACTAAAAAATATACAAAAATAAGTGTCACTTGTAATGCGAAGAATATTTATATATTGTTCGATTTCTCGCCATTTTTCGTATTTTCGACACTTCAATCCAACAAAGGAATGTGCACTGCGCCACGCGACGCGACGCCATTTTGTTCATTCGAGTTTCCGAGACTCTATCGAATTCGCGGTGTCGGAATACCAGATTCTCGTTCACCACGATTTCATCTACGACAGTATTATCCCCGCGTTACCTTATCTACGCGTTCTCCATTTACACGAGCCCATTGTCGAATCGGTGGCGGCGACAGCTCCCCGAATCGATTCCTCCGTTTTCGATCGCAAGCGACTGGGAGGATGTTGTGCTACGACAATCACTCCCCCCGCGGGGGACTAGAAAGTCTCGGAGGCTGCGGCGTCGACGGTGAATGTCGCCTCTTTTCCCTCTCGCAAAACAGATCGGGGCTTATTTCAATACGAATCGAAAACGGATTGCTGATATCAATGTCAGAAGCCTGAATGAAATTACCATAATAAAGGGCCGGCTAGAGACGACGGTATCTTGGACGTCAGGCTGCGCCGGGATTCGGAAGGCAAATGAATTATCGTATCAAACGCAGAAAATCGCTTATCGATCCCTGTCCCCACCATCTTTCACCCTCCCACCCTATTTGGTTCTTCTGGTCGATCTCGAGCGAAACGATCCAATTGTCCCCCTCAGACTATTTAATTCTTTTCATCCCAGACAAATTTGTTTTTTCATCTTGTCAATCTTGAAATAAAATTGATTATTAGGAATGATTTAATTGTTATATCCTTTGAGATGATGATAATTTCATTGGAAATAAAGAACAAAAGATCAGGTAAATTATCTTTGCAAATCTCATTATTAGGTTGATAGGTTTCCCATGCAGTAAAATATTAACTGACGTAAAAGTAATACTTATT